AAGCATAATGCTTTGTATTAAACCAATAAAATGCAGTAAAGCCAAGCATCCTTTGGCCATATGAGTTCACTTGCTCTGTGGGAAAAAAGGCCATGTCTATTTTGTTCTGCATATTATTTCCCACAAGTATATAATGTCTTTTTCTTAGTAATCCACCAACTGCTTACTGAATATAGTGGTTGAATAGTAGTCTCCAAAACACATGTCCAAATCCTAGACCCAGAACATGTGAGTATTATCTTTTAAGGAAGAGGGTTCTGATGGACATAAGAAAGAGCAGGATCTTGGGACGTTCATCTTAGATCCTCCAGTTGGGCCAGACCAACAGGTGTCCTCAGAGGGGCAGAATGGATAGACAGAAGAGGAAGAAGTAATAAAACCCAGATTCAGGGATTGTAATGAGCTGGCGGCTCATCAAAAAGCCATCAGAAACTGGAAGAGGCAAAGAAAGAACCTTGCCCAAGAGCCTCAGAGTGCGCATGGATCAGCTGACTTCTGATTTCAGACATCAGACCTTCCATGTCCACTTTTTGTCTCTGCACTTACCTGTTCTGGACATTTGTATGAATAGAATCATACAGTATGTTTGTCTTTAGGGTCTAGCTGTCAAAACAGCATACTAACATCTTTTAGATTCTAGCTACATGACATAAATCCAACGGCACAGATGCTCTTTTAAGCTTAGTATGCCTTGAATCACATAAAAGCTGTCATTGCGTGGGCATGTCTACAAGAAAATACTTCATAGGGTAGATGAGCCTCTGAACCTGTTCTTCTGTTTGGGAGATCTCAAGCATGCCAAGTGCCATTCCTGGGGCACAAAAGTGTCATGCAGAAGCCACAGATCCAACAGACAGCACTTGCCCCAAGTGAGAAACCTTGAGAAAGCTCAAATAAGCCAGGGCCCAACCTTCCTTCGGTTCATACCCATGGGAGCAGCCTTGGAAATGCTGGTGCATGTTCGAATTGTGTTTTGAAAGACATTTAGTATCCGTTTGTCCCTCAGAGGCTTCAGACTAGAGTGCTGCAATAGACTTTTTCCCTGGTGGAAACTCAAGGGTCACCCAAAACCAGTTTTCACCAAGTGGTATAGCCCTGTTTATCAGAAAGCAGTTACCCTCCCCAGCTTTCTCCCCTCTCCATGCTAGTGGTACCTGTGGTCAGAGCTAACCTGGAGAGCATCCACTGATGCTGAGAGCTAGTGGCTAATTCTCATCCTGAAAAGCACTTCCACATACGTGGTAGGCTCTAGGGTCCTATTCCTTCAGTTCCTTTCTTTTGTCTTACTACCACGATTTCTCCCTCGTTGTTGTTCTCCTGACAGTTATAAGCCTACTCAATACTTTTACACTATTAAAAAGAAAAAGCAACACAAAATATTTTTTAAATCTCTTTTTACTGCTGGCCTGCATGGTACTGGATTCTGTAGTATTTTCTTAATTGCTCTCCCTCCAACCATTCCTGAGATCCCCACCCTAGCTGTACTCTTGGTATCAAAGGGACGGGCCTGTTAGACGTGGAGGTCTATTTTTAAGAATTTTATATAAATAGCATTTAGCTGTGCCACTGGCGTTGTCTCGTGCCTCATTCTGCAGCACTGGTCTAAGTTTCATCTCTATTGGAAATATCTGTCAACAGCACAGGTTTTTGCTCTTTCTTAGAAGCGTTCAATTGTGTGATGACACCATATTTTATACACCTTCTGGCAGAAGTTGAGCTGTTTCCAGCTTGGGACTACTATTAAAAAAATTACCTGCAATGAACATGCACATGCAAACCTTCGTGTGACACATGGTCTCACTGATCAGGAGTAAACGTCTAGGGTGGTGTGGCTGGATCACATGATCAAAGTACACTTAACATCCTTGGAAACTGCCGTACTTTTCCAGAGTGGTTGTGCTTTTGGATTTCCTCAGTGTATGGGCAGAGCTCCAGATGTCTTAGGCCTGCCACTGCCCGATGGGTCTGGTTCCAGTTGTCTTAGCCATTCCAGCGGATGTAGGCCGGTGCGCCTCATTTGTTCAGCTCAGTGGTTCCTACCTCCGAGTAACTCCCACTGACACTTACCCAAGCCTTTGCTCATCCTGTCCTGCAACCTAGACACCTCTTTTCCTTCACTGATCTGAATTAAGCTGAGCTTCATCCTCAGCCTTAGGGTCTCCGGACCCAAGAGTCTTTCTGTACGTACTGTTGGGGTTAGCTCTGTGCTGCTGTAACAAAAGACCTGAGAAAAGCTGCTTACGCAGAGGGAAGATTTATCCCGACTCACAGTTTTGAAAGTTTGAAATTTATAAACCCCGTTGTTTAGGCCTTGTGATGGGTGAGGCAGTATATGTTGGTAGAGGAAGGTACTCACCTCATGATGACCAGAAAGCAAAGACAAAGAGAAAAACACCTGATGGCCCGACTTCTTCCCACTAGGCCCCACAGCCAACGGTTCCATCAATTCCTGACAGGACACCCACTAGAGTGTGCACCCTCAGAGATCTCTGGATAACTTTTTGTTAAGGTTTCCGTCTGTTCGTTTGTTTTGTTTTTAAGTGTTTGGTGAGACTGTGTGCAGTGTTTTCCTACTCAAGGCCACACTGACTGCAGGCTGTTATAAGTAGCGGTTGCAGAGACTAAACTCGGCTCTGTGAGTCAGTCCTTTGTGTGTGTCTATTGGAGATTCTAGGTCTGTTTCCGTTTGTTTAAAGAAATCTGTTACTGTTGCCATTTTTATTTGGATTTTGTAAATTGGAAATGATGTGTAGGTGTGGCAATGTCTTTTTTAAGTGAAGAACAATGGTCCTCCTAAGCATCCTTTGAACACAGAAAGGAAAATAGAAATGAAGTCAAAGGGACTTGGGAACTTCAAGAGAATTAAATTTGGTTCAAGTGAGGGTTACCCAATCTCTCTTGATGTTGTGATTTTAAGGCTTCCAGTCTCTGAGAATTTCCAGTGTTTTAAGGGAGCTAGAATTTGTCATTTATGCCTGTGATATTTTGTTTACATTGGTGGTGAGGAAGGGGCAGAGTTGGGGTGTATTCGAGAAGCTTCTGTGAAATTCTCGGTAGTGGTAGAGTTTGCCATCTCCCCGGATAATAGCTGGATGTAGTTTTACAGGTTCCCAGGAGGGCAGTGGGAACATGAAAAGAGGGGGTCTCCAGGAGGCAGTCTGGTAATAAGGGATGGTTAAGAGGCTGTGTTTCAAAGTCCATTGGAAATCACAGTGATGGAATTCAGAGCGATTGTCCCTGAGGCTTTACAGCCTAAGGATTTGGCCTGCTACACACCAAGACCTCTGCTGAGCTTTAATCCGGGCACTCCTGTGGGGATACAGCTCCAGATTAACCTGCCACTTGACGTGTGGAAAGAAAGCACCAGAAGGTGGAAATTCCTGGCAATCAGTTGGCTAATGCAAATAATTCTGAAATAGTCCTTCATAAGAGTATTGCCATAGTTGCGATAAGAAGGTTCATGACTAAAGCCATTGACACACTGACCTGCGTAGGAAAGTCTTATGCCAGAAGGAGGTCCTGAGCTCCTGCACTGGCAAAGTCCAGAAGGGGAGGGATGGAGGGAGACAGGCAGAGCACCTCAGGTAGAAGGGATGGAGAAGAGGATGGAGGAAAGAATGAAGAGATGAAGGGACAGGAAAAGGAAGAGAATAAAGGAAGAGAAAGGAGAGGAGAGGTGAGGAGAGAAGAAGAGAGGAGAGGAGAGGAGAGGA